TTATTCCTCGGTGAGGGATCTGATTTACCCAGTGAAGTTCCATTTACTAAAAGTAAACTGATCACTGAGCAAGAAAAAGATCTGCAGATTTTTTCACTATTCAAATATGAACTTCCAAAAAGATGAACTGGAGAAATTTACAAATGGTTATGGGAAAATGTTCTTACAGTGTTCGTTCTTTAATCTTAATTTTAAATAATATTTTCTTTTCGGTATTCATTAATGAAGCATTAAAGAATGCTATCAATCACTAGAGTGGTGAAAAAAATAGCCGATCTTTTATTTTGCTCTCTGGGAAAAGAGAAACCTAAGACTGAAATATGTAATGTTGCAACATAATTTAAGTTTGTTTGTTTTAGTGCAAATCTACATAAATGGGCTCTATCCACCGAGTGTATCGAAACCTTGTAGCATTGCGCTTAAAAACTAAACCAGCTGGATATAACACATATTTCTAGTGTAACATCCAGTATTCTATGAAATGATACCCATGAACTCTAATAACATTATAATGCACATATAATACAAATGAGAGCTTTCTTCAGTTTAGAAACGGAATTAGAAAAATTACTTAAATAAGTGCTTGTGGTGCAGTGGTCATCATATTCGCTTTACACGCGAAAGGTCCCAGGTTCAATCACTGGCAGGCACAAAGTGTATTTTTAAATTAGCGCGTTATGCTGTCTCAGACTACAGACGTGTTTTTTTTTATCAGTTCTGATTTCATGTTTAGATAGTGACTTACTATTTTTGTTTTATCGCGTGGTGTACTTTTTGTTTTGTGATTTTAAATGTGGAAGTTTCTGGACTTGGTTTATTAAGTCCAGAGCTTCTGTTGAATCTAGATTTGTTCAATATGGTTCTTTGGAAGATATGAGAAGAATAGTGTTTGTGGATTCTCTTAAAATTAATCAAGGACAGCTTGTACAAGCATTTATTTCTCACTTTTGTTCTGCTTCAGTTTCATCTATTGTCACTTGTCCGGGGGACTATGAGGTTACATTTATATTAAGTGACTATGTTGAATTTGTGGTGCATTCTGGATTGATCATTCATGACGAATATCTCACTGATGAAAGCCTTATCTCTAAGTTGCATACAGAGATCTAAGTGGAGAACTATTCGATAATGGAGGTGGATCGTGGTGTTTTTCTTGGACCTGATACCTCAGATGACGAGAATATTTGATCACGCTCTTTCTTTACTGTTGCTTCTACGTCGTATTGGAATTAATATTATTAAATTGAGGTAAATTGATATTTACAGACTTCATGAGTGTAATTATTAAATTGGACTTTCACAAGTCATAACGTGCTGGTTAAGAGAAAAGAAGACAAAACATAATACTAGAGCGTTTTCAGTAAATGATATTTTATCAATTTTAAAAAAAAGCGTTTTTCTAAATAATCGAAGCCTAAAGAAACTTTGCATATCAGGAATCGAGGCTGGTATATGGTTGTTGTACGACGAACACGATAGTCATTCCTCCTTTAGAGAAAGTTACTCTGAAATATAGAAGAGAGAATTTTAATCAGAATTCAAAGAAGATATTAATTTGACAATATTTGAATATGTTAGAGTTGTTACTTTTTTAAAAATTAGGTATTGTCTATTATTGTTGTAATGCTATGTGTTAATGTTCAGTGACTACTTTACAAAAAAATTAGACAAACTCATCATACATGTCCTTGTGGTGTACATGTCCTTGTGTTGTTGTAGTAATCACGTCCGCTTAAAGAGCACACGTGTTTTCGAAGGGCTTTGTCAGTGTGAAAAGTTACTCGCGCTTTTTGAATTTGTGCTTTTTAATTTTTTCGAGTGCGGAAGTAATAGAACCTATCAACTGTGTCTAGTTCTTCTGCTGGTGTTAGAGCTGACCATTATAGCTCTTCAGATGTTATGAAAAAGACTGTATTTGTGGATTCACCTAATATAAATCAAGGTTAGGGAATGCAAGCAATTATTTCGCAGTTTGGTGCTGTTTCAGTTTCATCTATTGTCCCTCGTCCTGGGGGCCATGAAGTACCATTTGTTTTAAATGATGATGTAGATTATCTGGTGGATTCTGGATTGACCATCAATGATGAAATATATGTAGACCAAGGGGTGTTTAGCCGTTCGTTGACTGTTTCATTTTTCGGCGTTCCTGAATATGTTACATATGCGAGCATTATTTCCAAATTGCATGAATTTGAATGTGATGTTAAAATTGCCATCGTATGAAAACGGGACCAAGGCATTTACAACGGTATCCGTTTTGTGCGTGTGTCTTTTTCAGATTCTCGTACATCTTTGCCTTATGTGATTAAGGTGTTTGATCCGTTGAGGAAACGTCTATTTATTAAAACGAAGCATGATTATCAACGTCGTCTGTGTAACTTATGTCTCGCTGATAATCATCTGTACAGTGATTGTCCCCAGTTAGTTTGTCATCGTTGTCATTGGCAAGGTCATGTTGGACGTCGTTGTCAAGGGGTCGTGAAAAGACCTGTTGATGAAGAACAGTCCTCGACAGCCCCAAATAAAGAGGTTGCAGTGGTGGACGACTCGAAAGGTGGAGATGATGTTCTTCATAAATCAACAGTTTTAGATGTCGAGATTAATCGCTCCTCTTCACCTGTAGTTTCTATATCGAATCGTGAAGAGTGCATGGCCAGTACTCTAGTTTTATCAACTGACTGTGATCCTGAATTTTCAGCGTTGGAACGGAGGAAGGCCTACCTGTCAACAACTGCTCTACCTGACAGCCCTTTGGTTCGAGAATATGCGAAAGTAGTTGAAATGGAAGTGGAACCTTCGAAAAGTGGTAAGAAGAGAGTTTTGGCATCATCTGATACTCACCTGAGTAAGGCTCGCTTGAAAAAACTACTAACAAAAAGTAAATTACAGTTATTATCATTTTCCAGAGTATGTCGAATCTAGGCAAGATATAGGTGGTGAACTGTAACGGGCTGAGAGACTTTGTTAAATTGAAAAAATATTTAACATATTTTAGTTAACTTTATTCTGTAATTTGTTTTCAAGAGACATTTTTACTGATCAATATTATTATTT